ACAGCAAGAAAACACCAAAAGCAATTAGCTTAATCACACATCTGAGATTCATTGAGTCTCAGCAAAATAAGCTCCTGTCAGTGATCAAAAGAAAAGTCATTTTTAAACCACAATTGTGTAAGATATTGACATGAAAGTGATAAATGAGGCATGAGGCATATTGAAGTGGTTCAGGAAGTCTGGCCAATGGCTACCTCTCTCATGACAGTATGTCATGAACTACAGGATGTTTGCATTGCTTCTGATCACTGATAAGGTCACTGGCACAATGAAGGACACCCACAAAAAGTAAAATGAGGCTTGACAAGAAGAAAAGAGGCAAAGAATCTGTATTAAACTGTAAGACAACAGTGTTCAAAAGGACTGTTTATATAGGGCTGCATAAGTTGTTTGCTCACCCAGGATTCTCACACAGGCATTTTTATATACAGAATATCTAAAGGGCTTTTTCAGTAGGAGAGCAACATATATTGATATTGCTAGCTACTTTATAATGTCCAAGATTCCTGAACTCAAAACAACCTCAGAAACTCTACTGTTAAAACAATCAGTTTTGCTTTAGCCACTGAAAATATTACAGTAAGAAAACTGTCATGTCCAATACATCCATTGAAAATTAGATTCACAGCCTCTCAATGTAATGACATCCATTGAGGGAACCACATCAAGACTACACCAGACACCTCAGCCAAGGCTATTTCACACAGATTGGTTTAGATGTAATTCATGGCACAAGGTGCATCGTGGGACCACATACTGGCCTGTTATGCATGTTGTATCTATGTGCTAAAATTCACAACAAAGCTTCAGAACTTGAACTTGAATTGGTCACACAATAACCAAAGGAAACTGATGACAACATGAACGATTTAAATTACTTCTATTTCCCATTTATCCCCTCGCAAAACACTGGATTTGATTAGTTTTGTCTTAAAAATCACAGAATGAGTTGGAAACAAATTTGCTTCTACAAGTGAAACATATCATGTATTAATATCATTGCAAAAAGAATAATATGAAGAGAATTTAATGCATCATATTTTTTTCTTACAATGTCTTCGATTTCCTTTGACCGTTGTAATACTTGGCATGTCTTTAATCTCTTGGTTAAAGTTAATTTTCTGTTATTCCGGATCTGGACGCAGTACTTATTCAACTTCAGAGAAACTTTTGAGAGAGAAAAAAATAAAAACAAAAACAAAAAGAGAGCTCGGAGGGGAGAATTATCCACCGATTAATATAAAATAGTGCTGTCAATTGCGATTAATCGGGTCCAAAATAAAAGTTTGTGTTTATATAATACATATGTGCGTACTGTGTATATTTGTATGTAGCCTATATTTATACAGTATGTATAAATACAGACACATATTTAAAAAATATTTAGCCTGCATTTATATAAAGCGTGATTAATCATGATTAATCGATTTGACAGCACTAAAAGGTGTGATTAATTCAGCTAATTTGCTGCAGTTATTAAATATTGTATTATTCTTTATTTTTAAAGTAAGAAAGTTAATAATATAATGAATTTTAGTCATCTACAATTGCTATTTTGCCAACAATTGTACGTACAGGAAAACTTCTCACGAGACAATTCACATGTGCGCACATTAATTTGTTCTTAATCTCATTCTAATATTAATGTATTTGGAATATTCTAAGTGAGCAATCGTTTTCTGAGGTTAGTCATTTGCATAAAACATGCCCAAACCATCTTCATATAAGGACTTTCCACACAACTCTCATTAATGGCCTTTCGTCACTCTCAGCAAACATACAATGCTCTCTAAAGACATGGTCTATGGCAGACGTTCAGAAAGATTCGAGCAATGCCAAGTTTGCCATTCTCAAAACCAGTTCAAACACAACACCAGTGCACTTTGAGTAACTAGCTCAGTTCTGGCATGGCAACTCTCTGAGAGTTTAGCATGGTAATGTGCGTGACAATGTTAATGTGTTTAGTCCTGGCAGAATAGATCTGCTACACTGCTGCTGCGGCAGAGCAATCACTGAGACTTGCTACTGTATTGGATAATACATCTACAGACATGCTGCTGTGAGTATGTAGGAAATATTGCTGCTGCACATGAAACAATACATAGCATACATGAATCACCCTGTAGCAGATCTATACAGGTGGAGCTGGGGAAGGTGGAGGGTTTCTGAAGGGCGCTGCAACTGCTACAGCAAGCACAAGCCAAGTATTTGAATATTGAGCAGCAAGCTCATTGGCTGTTTATGTGAAAAGAAACCAGTTAGATGCGCCATGTGAATAATGATGTGATTATATAAGATTGAGACAGAACCTGTCGGCTTGCGCCATCAAGAGTTTCATGACAGACCTTTGTATTTACAATGAAATCAGTTACCACTACAATGGGGCTTAAACAAAGTGATTAACGTAACTGAACCTGTGTGTCTGTGTGATGTATATCTGAAAACATCCTTGACAAATCACATTACACAATTAAACAGGTTTTCTATTACGATGAATTGTGGCACAACTAAACTGTTCTTCTTCCACTCCTGGAATGATAAAACATCAGATCAGGACAAAATGGATAATGCCATAACTGTAAAAGAAAGGGCTTTTGTTGTACCACCAATTGAAGACAACAATTCCCTGATGTTCTTGAAGACAAATGGACAGCACAGGACACAAAAGCAGCATAAATCTGCATTAAGCATTTGACATTCATAAGAACTGGGATTTGGGGATTTTCTTTTGCCCTGTTGTTGATGATTCTGACATTCAGCCAAAACGTTTCCTCCAGTCTGATACATGTGGTGTGACCGATGCCTGAGGAGTGTGATAGAATACCGCAGCTGTGCTGCGACTAAACCCTCAAATTTGATCGTCCAAACATTTGTTCTTACAGTCAGCGATCACTATCAGGGCTTAGTGAGCCCTGAGGTCACATCTCTGGTTGGTTTAATAAAAGGTCTGCTCAATGATGTGAGTGTTATAAAGGGACAGCCGATCAAACACTTCGTTTGACTACAAGAATGAGAGTCATTCTATCCGACCCATGAGACAAAAGGGGTTAGTAACAGCACATCCATAACTACAAGTCTTGTAGCCTCTTGGGCTGCATCACACACAATCTTCACAAGGCAGCAGATCTGGAGAGGAAGACAGACCACCTGCTGAGGTTTGTGTGTCCAACACAATCTCTTGATTAAAAAGACTCTGACTAAGGGCAGAGGAGGCCAGAAGAGAATAATTCAAATTTTCAATGGTCTTGAAGAAAATTGAAGAATTATTTATAGTAATCATGCATCAAACAAGGAAAATAAATCTCTTACAACTACTTAGAGGATATAAAATAAAAAAAGCAACATACTGTCAATTATCACCATTCATGGCTACTAATGTAGTACAACTGAGAAGTCAGAATCATGTCAATCATCTCACATCACACTCTCACCGACCCTGTTATAACTGCAGGTATTGCCACCAAAAACAAATTCAGAAAGCATGCTGTTGTTATTCTTGGATTTTTTTAAGAACTCTGAGTGATTTCTTTAGAAACTCTCTGGCTTTCCTCTCATATTTCAGAGAAAATAATCTTAAGTTAGCTTTGCAAATAACACGTAGAGTCCCTTTGGAAACAATCGAATACTGGCAAGACAGAAACTGTGAGACAGTGTTTAAACAATAAAAATGGAATTGCATTTATGTGATATAGACCATACATATCTCAACAAACAATCCAACATTTTTGCGATTCCATTGTTTCTTTGGGGAGCTTTCCTAAAACCACATCAAATCTTTTTCACAATTTTTCACATTTTCACAAGCTGAAAACAACAGGAGTTTTAGTGGAGCTTAATTCAATTAAGGAGAACTTTCCAAGTAGATTAAGCCTTTCTACAAAAAAAACAAATAGCTTGAATTAATCTGTTGTAGTAGTTAATCATTGTTCTAGTATTTAATCTAGTATGCATCTTTTAAAAAGAGTTCATAATTATCAGCAGGATAATCTTTTTCCTGTCAGCAGTAGTTAACGTTATGTCTGTAAGACACTTCTCACCCAGTATTATAAAACTCTTCCGGCAGGATGTGTCTGCACAGAGTTGGCTTTCGTCCTGTGGGCTCTGCCAGCTATACTTACTTTACAACACAAACTTTTATCACTGCCCAGTGCCCACTTTTGATGGTGTCACAGGAGAACATCACAGTGCAGGGTGCTGACTACCTTTTTTATCAAAGCCTCTATCAAAACAAGTCTAAGAAAATTATAAACTAACTGATTAAATGTGTTACAACCTGCCAATTTGCTAGGCACTGCAGTGATGAAAAGCTGCTTTATTACTGTAGAATGCTAAGCTGCAATGAAATGATTTGAAGATGATGAAGTCAACCTGTTCTTTTGACAAAAAGTAGTTAGCAACACTACACACTGCCAAACAATAACAACACTGAGGCTACTTAAGGGGGCCATAACTTTTTAAACACATAAAAACCAATAGAAGAACAGATAAACCAGAAAAAAAGCTAAGACAAGCAAACTAGGTTTTTTTTTATTAAACATGTGACGTGACAGTGTGACGTGAAATAATAGGATACACCTTCGTTTATAAAACCGAGTTAAAAACTTTGCAGCGAACAGCAGTAATCTAATCAGTGACTTTTTAATAAATTCATTTATTTGAACAAACTGATTCCCTAAAATTTTAGTGACTCTACAAAACCAAGACCTTTTGAGGAGATCTTTGAATATTTGTTGTGAGACTAAATCACATTTTTACAGGTTAGAGGATCTAACACCCCCGTAGTTTTGTCTGAAACACAAATCACACGCCATGCTCTACATTGCCTATTTTATAGCAATTTCTGCAGCAGCCAGAAGGTCTTTGGTAACCTGCATGAATTTCCCACCCGCACAGACAATGCAGCTGGGCAGAAGAACCCCCGAAGCCTCCAGAGATCTGCTCTAAATCACAGTCACTTAGAGAAGCCAGACTCTCCTCCAGAACTGTATTCTCACACTCACTTTCACAGAAATGCCATAAGGGAACACTGATCCTGCAGTGTAAGGAAAGGGATTTAACTGCCCTATCAGCCCTGCTGTGACCTTAGAGTGGTTATGTTCTACTGATGCACCTGGAGGCTGTTCTATACGATTGTAGTGGAAGTGCTGATGAACAAAATGAGTAAAGCAGAATGAACTGACAGAGAGGTCCAGAGGATGGAATAATGAAATTGAGAAGCCCTTTGGGAGGACAACATATATTCTGATACAGGGGTTGGAGGTGCATAGAAAAATGCACTCATGACATGCTAATTCTCTCTCAGCAGTATCATAGGAAGGAAGAAAAATGATCTTTCATTTAAGTGTTATCATGACACTGATAGAACACAGTCTGTTAAAATTCATCACACAAGCCAACTGACATTCACCGAGTGCTATAAGAATGAGATAGAGCTTTAGTTCAAAGCTCAAATAACTTGTGTGCTCATCATACTGACAGCTGGATCCATTGAATCCTGCGGGGCAGTCACACAGTTGATTCAAGCGCCCTGTACACACAGCCCCATTAAAGAAGACACCGTAAGTGCAGAGAGCTGGAGCAGAAAAGAGATTTAGAAGCAGACAGTCAAGTAAATTGTTCTATGGGGAAATTTAACACATGAAAATATTGAAAGTTGGTTCAACATGATCAAATTATTCATTATTTGTTTTATTTCACCAGGCAGTGATAATGACAAATCACTTATAATATTCTGTTTGTTATGGCAAATCAGCTGCTAAATCAGTTACAGCAAATGAGAGAACCAAATGAAAAAATAGAAAAGAAATAGAATTACACCCCAAAATGTAGTTTTAGTTTGATGACTCAAGTTATTCATATTAAATAAGTAAATAAATCAATAAAAGGAATAAATAAAGTAATACTATGAATTCATAGTGTGTCCATTTGACAGCCTGTTCATTTCTTTCTAACTGAAGATCCAGAAAGCAAAAAGACCATATCATCTTTATTTGATATTAAAACTGCTCTAGGCCATTTTTTTTTTAAATACCGCTTCTATCTGACAGATGTAATTCAAAAAAAGAAGAAAACAGCATACAGCTTTGTATGATATTAAATGCCAACTTATAAAGAGACTTACATGTATTACAACTGTTGATTATTAAACTACTGACAGAGGCTGAGCTTAGCAGGAGCAATTCACCCTCATAATCTAATTATGGGATTCATGTAATAGGATATTATTGTAGAATTAAGATCTATGGGGGATCCCAAAAAAAACTAAAACAACAGTGATTATCCCTGAGATGCTCTCCAAACTCATTGCACCGAAAGCTACAGTAAATGTCCTCCACCTACAGCTGTCTTTTGATTATCACAAAGGTTCATTGTGTCCTAGCTCACTGCAAGAAGAGGTCACTAAGCCTTCCAGATTCTTACAAAGCCATTGATGAGAAGCTATGCTCTGCCTCTTTATGGCCTTTAAGCATTCAAACATGTTTAGGCTGCGATGAACTGGCTGCCATGTCATTTCTAAAAATACAAATACATGCTACGCCATGTCATCAAGGGCAAACCACTCCACAAAATAAAGCAGAAGTGACAGTAGTAAGAGACCCTAAAGAGATTAAGCAATGTGGGCTAACCATTCAAAACATCATCTTTTGGATTATTCTCATAGATTTCAACACAACACTGACTAAATCCTGTGATTTATTATTTGATATTTAGAGAATATACAGTTCCATTGTGCCCAAACAACAATCCTGAACCATCCTGAACAAAGATAAAGAGTCTATTGAAATGTTGCTGGTCCCCAAAATGAGCATCTGATGAAAAGTTTCTGTTCATGATTGACAACAGCAACAAAGCCAGAATCCCTCTCATGGAATCTCCAGAGAAGAACAGAAATCTCATTAATCATGTAAGCCATTCACTACACAATCCTTCAGTGAATGATGTTTATGAATCATTAACCTCAACCATACAAATCTACACTTAAAGTTTAGGGCCTATATGTTTGTTTTTCATGTCATGTCTGATAGATATAGGACAGACCTGACAGTGGAAATACTTACGATAGAGGCAGCCTGCCTCTGCATTGAACTGGGACCATCCACGACAGCATTTGTATGTAGTCTTAAAATCTTGTCTGTAGTCCTGCCTGTAGCCTATGTAGTAGGCAGTCCTACAAAGTGATAAAAATATGATTACTACAATCAAACTAGTTCAGCAAAATTTGAGACAAATAGCATGGATTCTCACGATTGGCCAATCAGAATTAAGTATTTCAGAGAGCCGTGTAATAATAGACTTCTAAACCCCAATTAGTTCAGCATTTGTTCAGTGCAATGGCAACTTTAGCAAGCCCAGTGTCTGTTTAATGAGGGCTATTCAATGATCTTCCATAATTGCCAAGGGGGATGATGGCTCTGAGAGTCTTGAGCTTCCTTTTGATTCCCAAAGCATCTGAGACCCTTAATAACCATCGTCTCTCAACAACAGGATCAGTTTCTAACTGCTGTCTTTCTCTAGCCCTCTGCCCATTCTCAAAAGCGGCAAGAAGTTGGCTGGCACTGAAAGGTGTACCATTGAGAAATGGCTGTCAGGGTAAAAAGGACTATTGATAGTGAATCAGGACAGAGGGACTCTTTACTACATGTAAAATCTAGTGCCAACTTTTAAAATATTTCATTTCTTTTGTTGTAACTGTATTCAATCTAACTAGATCTTGAAGTCAAATGAATATGTACCTCCTTTCATAGTCCATACACCAAGCATGACCTGTGCATCCTTGCCTCCAAACCTTCACCATACGTGTAAAAGCCTGTACACATGGCTTTTTCTCAGCTGTGATGATTCTCTCTTTTTCTGAGCAGACATTCGGCCTGAACAAAGAAGAATGAAATAATTACTTTCCATTTCAAGTGCATAATGCAGCTCTTACATCAGCAACTCTGTTTTGAGGTCTTTTAGAACAGAATAACTGGAAAGTAATTTGTAATTAATATAATAATAATAATAATAATAAATTACATTTTAATAGTGACATTTATTGCATATATCTGAACATAAGAAATACTGATTTGCTTAACACTTTTAATTAAAAATTTTGTACATTTTTATATACTATATTATATAGTATACACTATATTAAAAGTACTTTATACTTAAAACATAATTCTGTAAGAAAAAAAAGATGCTTAAGTTTGAATTTTTTTTTTATTATTACTTCATATTCGTAACAAACGTTTCATGCAAGAAAAGAAACAGATTTGTGCATACAATCCAATTTTCATGCCGTCAATAAATTTGCCAAATTAAAATAATTAAATCATGACTAAAATGTAATTTATTTTCATGCTACTTACATAAAAGGCTGCAGAGCTCGATGACAGCACGACGAACGGATCTCTGTAAGCAGGAATAATAACATCACCGCGTGTATATCCATGTCAAAAAGCCTCACAACACTTTTCCATACAGATTAAACTGAGTGTGTTCAGGCTGTTTCATCTGGAAGGAACGGCATATCTGGTACTGTAGTCCTACTGAGTGTTTACTAATAGCATTTACAGTAACGTGTTGCATGGATGGGGCAGGCTTGGACATACGACTGATAATTTAGAGAAGGTTACCTATGGGTTAATGATGAGCAGCGTTTCCTTGCCCCTCAAAATGTTTGAATTAATTCAGTTTTTTCTCAGTTGCATTGCACTGCAAACGTGTTCAGTGAACATGCTAAAGCATACTGTCAAAACCCAGATATTTAAACATAACGTAGAGGTAAATCGATTTGGGTTACAATTGTTTTTGCAATGAGTTTAGTAATAAAACAACAGATTTTGGGCTGTAGCAAACATTGAACACCTGCGTAAGTACAAACGAAATGTTTGAAATTGTCTTTAGATTGTGCTGCCACCTAATGGCCTAAACTGCACTACAGAGTAACACTAGACCATTCAAAATGAAAATGATAAAAACCCACAAATATTTTAAAGCAGGACAAAATCATATTTAGATGGGCATATCACAGAACATTAAAAAAAAAAAAAAAAGCACGCCCTGTATCCATGTTGATTCACATTGAAATCCATCAATACAACATAGGCTAAATGGTCTACAGACAGACACATGAAAAAGGTTCCAACGTGTATTACGATTGCATCTGTATTTACATTTTATATTGCGAAATAATTAATATTTTCATAATTGATTTAATAATTTTCCTAAAAATAAAAGATCAAGAACTTTGAGACACAACTTATTCCGATATTTCAAGTTATTTTCGATCTTTTTTTTTTTTAGCAATTTATATTATCGCTCATATTTTATAACAGCTTTCATATCATTATATTAGTTCATGTATATTGTAAATGACCCTTTAAGAAGCATTTTAAATCCAATCTATTGGCATCTCAAGCGAATGCCTGATGTTAATGTTGAGCAGCAGTTAACATCGATTTAATTACATTTTAAAAAATATTTTTGTATATCAAGAACTAAACTAAATTCTAACCTATTATAGGATGGAAATAATGTCTAAATACATTTTTATTGTTTTATCAAAGGTTGGCTATTTGGGTCCTTTACCGCAGAGCATTGTGGGAGTCGTTCCTCTGCAGCAATGGCTTGGCTTGTAGTAAGATTAGCTATATCTGTGTCTTTATTAAATACTGCATCGGCGGTATTTGAAGACCAAGTTGGAAAGTTTGATTGGTATGTAAACGGAATTTATAGCTGTGTGTTGGTTTGGCGTATAATCCATTGTGGGATTTCTGCGACTGTATAAACAGCCGGTACTTTAAGCAGACTGCGGACTGATGTCAGCTACACCGGGCTGGTCAGTCTTCATGTCTTAACATCACTCTAAACTACCTGCGATTTCTTTCAGGAGGCAACAGTTTATCGGCAAGGTGCGTTTTGCCTTGTTTGACACTCATTCTCAAGCGTCTAAAAAGCTCCTGGTGGCAACTGACAAGAACGTGTTTGCGTCCCTCAATTCAAGGACAGGAGACCTGTGTAAGTCATTCTGCTCATCTGCCTGTCTTTTTACGTTTAATCATATATAGGCATTTATAAATCGCATTCAGAATCTGTTTATAAGCGTTTATTGGTTATTAGACTGTGTAAGAATGAGCGTCCATAATCCGATTTCAGCCCACAGTGTTGCTCCAAAAACAGTTATAAGCCACCATTTGACAACATTTGACACTTAACCATAATTATTATTATTATTTTGGGACAAAATCACTTTTACATGGCTGACAAGTGATTCATCATTTATCATTTTATTCTGTCTTCTTTTGAAGTGGACAAATGTGCAATAAAAGCATGTAAAAAAAATAAGCCTGTAACCAGAAAATTTTCATTTTAATAATTTGTGCATTAAAGGCTTAACTATTTGATTTTTAAAAAAAAAAATATATATATATATATATATATATATATATATAATTTATTTTTTTTAAAGATATTGTTTTATTAGTGAACCTTTACAACCTTTAGAAAAAAAGTAGATGAGCTTTGTTGTGATATAAAAATCTCCTCTTATGTTTGTTGTGATATAGACAAATTTCTTATGTCCAATGAATAACAGGTTGTCTATTTACAACCCATATTTAAAGGGACAGTCCGTCAAAAAAAAAATGGTCTAGGCAATGAATCCTGAAATTCTTTGTGGTTGCTTCATTAAAGGGATAGTTCAACCAAAAATGTCAATTCTGTGATTGTTTATGATTTGTTGTTACAAATGTGTATGTCTTCGCTGCTTATGCGGGACACAGAAGAACATGTTTTGAAGAATGTTGGGACCCAAACAGTTTTGGTTTCCATTGACTTCTATTATATGGACAAGAAAAAAATATATATATTTATATGTACAATGAAAGTCAGAGGGAGTTGCAACTGTTTAGTTACCAACATTCTTCAGAATATCTTCTTTTATGTTCTGCTGAAAAAAGAAAGGCATACAGGTTGGGAACAACATCAAGGGGAGTAAATGATGACAGTATTTTCATTTCTGGTTGAACTGTCTCTTTAAGGGTTATGCTATTATAGAACAATAGTATCTATCCTTGTTCCTTATTACTTCACCATAGTTGAGCTAACTAATTTTCTTAGTCATAATCAAAATAATCTACATGGACAGGTGAGAGAGGTTTGCATTATAGATATTAGAATAAACCTTCCTATTAATGTGAACTTGTTCATTAAAAAGCAATGATTTTGTATGATTCATTCATTTAACAGTGTCAGTGACATGTTTTTGTTTCTTGTAGTCTGGCGGCATGTGGATAAGACTGGACCAGAGGGCCATATTGATGCACTGCTTATGTATGGACAGGGTAAGCATGCAAAAAAAGCTTGTTTTGTGAAATTAGGTTTTGTTTCTTGCCTCTGAATTTGTGTTTGTTGTCTCTTAGATGCTGTTGTTGTTGCTGGAAATGGCCGTCTGCTTCGCTCCTGGGAGACCACAGTCGGTGGCTTGAAGTGGGAGACGGTGCTTGATACGGGAAGGTTGTATGTTGTTTGTTATTTTGTGACAATATTAGGATTAACTGATGCATCAAGCTGACAGTGTCCACTTTTGACCACAGCTTTCAGGCTGCTGCTTTAGTTGGAGTTGAAGACCTTGTGAAGTATGTTGTTGTGCTGAAGAAATCAGCAATCTCGCTCCATGACCTTTCAAGTGGCAGCCAGATATGGGAGGAAAACCTACCTGACAGGTGATAAAAAAAAAATCTTGGAATTCAGAATAACAGCTGTTCTTCTTTTTTTTGCAACTTCTTATTACAGTTATTATTTGCGTAAATAATTTTTTTTTTCTTTTTGCTGTAATTAATTGTGAATTCATCTTTTTGCATCCTACAGTGACACTGTTCAGTATCAAACTATTTATTCTGGTGGGAATGGACTGGTATTTGTTTTTGGGGTTGTGCCGAACTCCCATATTGTTATTGTTGAATACAAAATTGAAGATGGAGAAATCATGAACAAGGTATGGAGTTTAATTTCTTTAGGATTTTTTTTTTTAAAGAAATGGATGCTTTTATTCAGCAGGATGGATGAAATTGATCAAAACTGACAGTAAAAACATTTATAATTTACATGTATAATTTATAATTTTACACAATGCCGTTTTCTCATTTAAAGATTCAGATCACTTCGATAATACAAAAAGATGGAAAATCTATTGAGTTTTCTTATTGAGAGAGTCAGATTACTTAGCTAATAATACAGTCACACTTTTTTTTCCTCAGAAATCAGTTGAAGCCGCATGGATGTCAAGCCTGGAGAGCAGCTGTACAGTCATCAGCTCAGGGATCCTATTGTGTGTGGATCAGATCACACAGTCCCTGTATACTCTACTGCTGCAGTCTGCAGAACAGACAGAAATGAGACAGATCCACCTCCAGGTACAGATGTTGCTACGCTTGTATTTAACATACAGTGCTTCCTCAGTCTTCTGTAACTATAATATCATGGGTGCCTCCTCTTTTCAAAGACGCTAGATTTGGAGGTGGCATCTGGATTCCAGCCCATTCTGACGTCCACTCAACCCAATCCAGCACAGCCTCCTCTTTCTGAGTTCGTCCTGCAGCTCAGTCCAGATCATCACATCCTGCTGCAACTCAAAGACGACTTCATCGCTACGCTCCGAGACTTCTATCCAGTAAGAACTAATATGCCTCCGAGTTAAACAGAACCATTAAATTCCTTACAATTCCAATTCATAAAATGTTATTTATTACAGAAATGTTACTGGTTATTCTTCACTCAAAGTCTAAAGCCCAATGTCCTTCATATTTCAGTCATATCTGGCTGCTTTTGCCACATCTGGAGAGAGGACGGTTGCTGCTGTGATGTCTCCAAAGAATGATACTGTGAGTCACATTTCAAAAACAAGACAAAAATTTATTTTTAGGTATGCACTTGTACCTTAATCAGTTGTTATTCTTACTCAAGGCTTGCAGCATCAACCTGTTCAGTGCTGACACAGGGCGGAGGCACCTCGACACCACCGTTATCTACCACATGGACCCTAATGGAGGAAAGCCAAACAGAGTGAGGGCTCATGCTGAAGTATATAAGTTTAACCGATTATTGGCCAATAATTTTGAATGTAGGTTAATTTGATTGGTCTGTTCTTTAGTTATATGTCCACGCCTTTCTGAAGAAAGATGATTCTGTGGGCTACAGAGTCATGGTGCAGACGGAAGATCTTACACTCACATTCCTACAGCAACCTGGTATGAACTACACTACGGAGAAATTGATTTATTAAAAATAAAACTAAATAATTATCATTTAAGAACCTGGCAAATAAATATAGAAAAGCTGTTTCAAAATCCTTTCATTTAAAGTGAATTAAAAAAAATTACATTTAAAATATATAAAAAATCATTACAATTATTATTACAGTCTAAGTTTAATCAAATTAAATAAATAGCTTAAAATAAGTCAATAAATTAATTTCTCTCCTGGACCTCTGTACTATATCTGTAAAAAAATATATGACGTAAAATTCAACTTAGCTTCACCTCAATAGTATAAACTACAAAAGGCAATGAGTTGATTTTTGTTTCCCACTGTAGGCAAGGTGGTCTGGATGAGGGAGGAGGCCCTGGCTGATGTGGTCACGATGGAGATGGTTGATCTGCCATTCACTGGAACACAGGCAGAACTGGAGGGAGAGTTTGGAAAGAAAGCCGGTAAAACCTTTGTTTATCATGTCTTTGTTTGCTTATTACATATTGTTTGTAGTCTTATTTTTTCATCTTGTAATTTCGGAGCAATCCAGTTAGGTGTTAGTTTAAAATATGAAACGCATCTTAAGGTCAACATAAAATGTCATTGGAAGGCCTTTTTTTTTCTCGAGTTGCTAGATATAAGTGTTATGTATGCCTGTACTCTGTGTTTGTGATGTATGGCATTGGTGTTGTGGCATTGCTGCTTTGCTTGCTCATCTGTCCTCATCTGTCCTATTTTCCATGGCTTTCTTGCTATTTCTTTTTGTATTTATGTCCTTATGTGTTTTCTATTGCCTATCTGCTGCACTTGGATCCAGCCATTCAAGGTAAAGTAGAGAGCTTCCTCTAATTTTGCTTCTCTTCCTAATCACGTTTATTTTATGTAATGTCTTTGTCAGTGTCTCAAGAATGTAACTAATTTTATGTTAAAGCTGAAGTGACTCTTTTTTTTCTTTTTCTTGGAGATTCATTTACCTCTGTCACTCATCGCTGTAGTCTCTTGTTGCTTGCAGATGGGCTGTTACCCATGGTTCTCAAGCGCCTCTCTTCCCAGTTCATCCTGCTGCAGGCCTGGCTGGCCCATCTCTGGAAACTCTTTTATGATGCCCGGAAGCCCCGAAGCAGTGTGAAGAATGAGGTCACCATAGACACACTGTCTCGGGATGAATTCAACCTGCAGAAGATGATGTTGATGGTAACTGCCTCTGGGAAGGTAAGTTTAGAATGCACAGCTGTTGCTTTGTTCTTTTTGCTGTCTTGTTGGTTAACATATGGCTATTGTTTTTCTACTCAGCTCTTTGGCATCGACAGTAAATCAGGAACGATTTTGTGGAAGCAGTATTTAGAAAACATCCAGCCCAACTCTGTTTTCAAACTCATTGTGCAGAGGACCACTGCTCACTTTCCTCATCCTCCACAGTGCACACTTCTTATAAAAAGCCAGGTAAGCTTTTGTAGTTTGCTTTTGTATGATCTAAAGCTATTTGTTTGTTTATTTGGTTGCCTGTTTTTGTTTGCTTATTCTTATGTTTTTGTTTGTTTACTTGCTTTCATATGTTTACTCATTTGTGCATTTGATTGTTTGCTGCTGCTTTTTTTTTTTTTTTTTTTTTACAAATGTATGCATTTGTCTTTTAGTTTGTTTATTTGCTTGTTAGTTGCTTTGTTTACTTGTTTGTGAATTTGCTTGTGTGTTCAATTGCTTTTTTTTTTTTGTGTGTGTTTGTTAATTTACTTGTTTTTGTTTACTTGTTTGTTAGTTTGTACTCTTGTTTTTTGTTTGCTTGCTTAGTTTACACATTTGTCCATTTTTTTCCATTCATTTGACTCTTTGTTTGTTTTTTTAGGACAGAGAAGTGTTCATATGTTCAATACTACATGTTTTTGTTTGGTTGTTTTTCATGTAGTTTTTTTATTTTTTTAATATACATTTAAAAATTGACTATATTTACAGGACACAGGTCTTGGAAACCTCTATGTCTTCAATCCTATCTTTGGCAAGAAGAGTCAAATTAGTGTCCCTGCCTTACCGAGACCTGTCCTTCAGACCCTGCTGCTGCCTGTCATTGACCAGGACTATGCTAAAGTCCTTCTACTTATTGATGACCAGTATAAGGTGGGTCTCTGTTCTTCTGACAGACCTTCTGTGTTCCTTGGAGAATGTGAACCTATTTATTTTTCCAATTCAGGTCACAGCATTTCCATCTACAAAGAACGTTCTGCAGCAGCTTCAGGACACAGCATCCTCCATATTCTTCTACCTAGTGGATTCTAGTCAGGGAAAACTGTCCGGTTTCCGTCTGCGCAAGGTTAGCATCCATTCATGCAAAGCAGATGTAAAGCACTTTTGATGCTAGTGTTCATAAAAGATTTTGTTCCTTTAGGATTTGTCTACAGAGGTAATCTGGGAGGTGGTCATCCCCACTGAGGTGCAGAAGATAGTGGCTGTCAAAGGAAAGCGTGCAAATGAACATGTGCATTCCCAGGGCAGAGTCATGGGGGATCGCAGTGTGCTCTACAAGGTACTGCTGATTCGATGACTGCTCTTTTTGGGCAAAAGTAATTACACTCTTTTCTAATCACATATCCTACCTGTTGTTCTTCTGCAGTATCTGAACCCTAATCTCTTGGCTGTAATAACGGAAAGCACAGACACCCATCAGGAGCGGAGCTTTGTTGGAATCTTCCTGATTGATGGTGTCACTGGCCGTATTGTGCATGAAGCGGTGCAGCGGAAAGCCAGAGGACCTGTTCACTTTGTACACTCTGAAAACTGGGTGGTGGTAAGTGCACAAATGTATCCATCCATTTATACATTATGATTACTGTGATAGATATAAATGTTTCTGGTACAGAATTTAACACTACTTTTTGTGTTTATTCCCTATAGTATGTGTACTGGAACTCCAAGTTCCGCAGAAATGAGTTTTCTGTGTTGGAGCTCTTTGAGGGAGCGGAGCTCTATAACAGCACAGTGTTCAGCTCCCTGGACAGACCACATCCACCTCAGGTTCTGCAGCAGTCATACATTTTTCCTGCTTCCATAAGCACTTTGGAAGCCACACTTACGGAAAAGGGCATCACCAGCCGACACCTTATTGGTTAGTATTGTGCATATCTAGCAGTTAGGAATCTTCAGATACTGACAGTTATTTTATTTTTTAATATCTATAAGATCAAAGTCTTATGAAAAATAGCAGCATTCTCATATTAAATTCTGTGTGTTACTTTTACTTTATAGTCGGGCTGCCATCAGGCAACATTTTATCCTTACCAAAGATGTTTCTGGACCCAAGGAGACCAGAGGTGGTCTCAGAACACAGTCGGTGGGTTTTCAACTAATATTTACTATGTTGGGAAATATCACATACGATTCAGACTTTGATTAACAATTTGCTTGCTGAGTAACCAAGCTGAACAATGATTGTCTCACCATTTAGGGAGGAAAACCTCATACCATATGCTCCAGAAATGCCCATTCGTGAAGAGTGGTTTATAAACTACAACCAAACTGTGTCAAGAGTAAGGGGCATCCACACTGCCCCCTCTGGCCTGGAGTCTACCTGTTTGGTAAGAGTGATGGTTTAGTCCTTTTTTTAAATTTCACAATATTAAATAACTTTTTGTTGGTAGGATTTGTCTTCATTTGAAGGGATAGTTCACCCAAAATGAAAATTCTGTCATTAATTACTCACCCTCATGTTGTTCCAAACCCGTAAGTCCTTCGTTCATTTTCGTAAAACAAATTAAGATATTTTGATGAAATCCGAGAGCTTTCTGACCCTCTATAGACAGCCATGCAACTACCACGTTCAAAGCCCAGAACCGTAGAAAGGACATTGTTAAAATAGTCTGTGACATCAGTGATTCAACTGTCATTTTATGAAGCTATGAGAATACTTTTTATGTGCAAAGAAAGCTCTTGGATTTCATCAAAAATATCTTAATTGATGTTCCGAAGATGAAAGAAGGTCTTACATGTTTGGAACGACATGAGGTTGAGTAATTAATGACAGAATTTTCATTTTGGGTGAACTATCCCTTTAACATCCATGCCATTCTCATTACATGAATGAAATGCATTTAATTTCTTCACCCTGTAGGTGGTTGCGTATGGTCTTGACATCTACCAGACCAGAGTGTTCCCCTCCAAGCAATTTGATGTCCTTAAGGATGACTACGACTATGTATTAATCAGCAGTGTACTCTTTGGCCTCTTCTTTGCCACCATGATCAGCAAACGTCTAGCGGAAGTGAAACTGCTCAATAGGGCATGGCGATAAGACTCATCCTGATGGCCTGTTGACTTCACTCTCGCCCTCACTGCAATGTGGTCGACACATTGATGGCAGGAGACTAGCTGGTGACCATGTCAAAACTGCAAGATCATTTGATAAGTTTGGTGTATTTTTGCAACCAGCTGTCTTAGGGATCTTGTGGTGTTTTGAGTGTAAGTGCATAGACGGCCATGATAGTTTTTCCCTTTTCAGAGAGAGAAGTAATGTAGGTCTAATTTTCCCCCCCAGCATTGATCAATTCACTGTCTAATTTATTTATTGTGCCTTTCGGGGTAACATAACTCATGTGATTTAAAGTTAGACTCACCAGGTATAACATAATACCCGTCCTTTTTATTTATTTCTTTTTTTTTTTCATTATAGATTTCATTCAGTAAGTCTGAGTCTGCCTTTTGAAGAAATGGTGTTATTTTGAAAATTAATACTGAAGGAAGGAGTATTGCAAAAGGACTGCCATTTTTATTTCAATCAATAAAAAGATTGGGTTTTAAATTTGATATGATCTGATGAGCTATTGAAGAATATATTGCCTTGTGTACAGGATTTGAATGGGCAAATACTAGTGCACATGAGAACTGTGAAATTGTTTTCTCCTGTACATTAATGATAGAAGGTTCTGCATAGGAGTTTGGATTGTCTTTTGTAGTTATTTTATGGTATGTCAAATGCACTGGATGGTTTGGAGCCATGTTCTTACTTGATATGTTTATGAGCAAGATCCTAATATGCCATATCATACTTTGATTTTGACTTGTACGCATTACAAATCCTTGTGATTTTACTATTGTGTAAAATGTTTCTACTCTTTTGATTTTCATGAATAATAGGCCTGTTTATATACATAATTTTAAAAGCATCCCCGCTGCTGCAAATTAATGATGTCAGAAAAAATGAGTTTACTAATAATATTTGTAACAAAAGAGTAGACATTCAATTAAGTTGGTAACAAACCTAATGCTTTTTTAAACATGCGTAAATTATTTGTTCTTTTCCCCCTAATCAATAATAAAAAAAATATGCCCTTCCTAATTATAGACTCTTGAATCGTTTTGCTGATGCAGTTGTGGATAGTCTGGGCAATACCAGTTGAAATATTTTCTGGATGCATCATTAAAGCGATCATTCATCCAAAAAAAAAAGTAAATTCTATCATCTTTTACGCACCATTATTTTGGTAAAAACTTGTATGACTGACTGACTTCTGCAGAATACAGATGATATTTTGAAGAATTTTGGAATACAGTTTAGTTACCACTGACTTCAATTGTATAAACAAATAATTTTGACATGTAGCCTACAATTTATATGATTTTGGATAATATTGTAGGGATAGTCACCCAAAAATAAGAAAAATCTATCATCGTTTATTCACTCTTGTGTCGTTACTAAAAAGATTGGGTTTTAAATTTGATATGATCTGATGAGCTATTGAAGAATATATTGCCTTGTGTACAGGATTTGAATGGGCAAATACTAGTGCACATGAGAACTGTGAAATTGTTTTCTCCTGTACATTAATGATAGAAGGTTCTGCATAGGAGTTTGGATTGTCTTTTGTAGTTATTTTATGGTATGTCAAATGCACTGGATGGTTTGGAGCCATGTTCTTACTTGATATGTTTATGAGCAAGATCCTAATATGCCATATCATACTTTGATTTTGACTTGTACGCATTACAAATCCTTGTGATTTTACTATTGTGTAAAATGTTTCTACTCTTTTGATTTTCATGAATAATAGGCCTGTTTATATACATAATTTTAAAAGCATCCCCGCTGCTGCAAATTAATGATGTCAGAAAAAATGAGTTTACTAATAATATTTGTAACAAAAGAGTAGACATTCAATTAAGTTGGTAACAAACCTAATGCTTTTTTAAACATGCGTAAATTATTTGTTCTTTTCCCCCTAATCAATAATAAAAAAATATGCCCTTCCTAATTATAGACTCTTGAATCGTTTTGCTGCTGCAGTTGTGGATAGTCTGGGCAATACCAGTTGAAATATTTTCTGGATGCATCATTAAAGCGATCATTCATCCAAAAAAAAAAGTAAATTCTATCATCTTTTACGCACCATTATTTTGGTAAAAACTTGTATGACTGACTGACTTCTGCAGAACACAGATGATATTTTGAAGAATTTTGGAATACAGTTTAGTTACCACTGACTTCAATTGTATAAACAAATAATTTTGACATGTAGCCTACAATTTATATGATTTTGGATAATATTGTAGGGATAGTCACCCAAAAATAAGAAAAATCTATCATCGTTTATTCACTCTTGTGTCGTTACCAACCCCAAAGACTTTTTTCTTCTTCAGCAGAACACAGAAGATGATATTCTGAAGACTGTTGGGACCCTAATAATTTTGGTTATAGTTGACTTCCATTGTATGGACAAAACATGATGGCATTTACTAAATATTATTACTTGCCTATAAGGCCCTTAATGGGTTAGCTCCTGCGCACCTAACTAGTCTTCTACCACGCTGCAATCCATCACGCTCCCTAAGGTCACAAAACTCTGGACTTTTGGTAGTACCTAGGATAGCAAAGTCCACTAAAGGAGGTAACGTTAGAGCTTTTTCACATTTGGCTCCCAAACGCTGAATAGCCTTCCTGATACCGTTCGGGGTTCAGACACACTCTCACTGTTTAAATCTAGATTAAAGACACATCTCTTTTGCCACGCATTCAAATAATGCATCTCATAATCTTGTACTGCAGTTATATCTGATCAAATGCACATTATTATTCTTTAGCTTGGGTTAAACAAATCAATTTTGCTTGGTTGGAACAGCAGCTACGCTAATTATGTCTATTCGTTTCTCTGTTTATGCCACGGTTTTCCACAAGCTTCAGTCTGGATCCAGAACACCTGAGAAGAGATGATGCCAACCCTGAAACAACATACAGAACTACCAAATTTTGCTAGAAGTTTGATTGCATCATATAATAATTGCTGTTAATAGTCTTCATCGTCTGTTTGATTACGTCTTTAATTGATTTTTCTGTACATTTCTGCCATATGTACATTAACTGACAGTCACTACTACTAAATATATTGTAGAAATGTAATTTTCTGTAAAGTTGCTTTGCAACGATTTGTATCGTGAAAAGCGCTATACAAATCAACTTGAATTGAATTGAATGTACAATTGGTCTATTTTTTTTTACTATTTTAAAGGGATAACCACCCAAAAGTGAAAATTCTGTCTAGTTTATTATCCCTCATGTTGTTTGACAAGAGTCAAGGCAATTCGCTTACTGCATTTGTTTTCCACATAGTTCAAGTGAATTGAGGTTCATTCTACCTAACATTTATTTTGGGGTTTCAGAAGAAAATTTTGGAAAGAACCCTTCTCTGTGGACACACTGTTTTAGATGTAGTGAGAGGACATTCAGAAACACAGATTTGGTATAATAATGAGAAAATTAAATTGAAGGTGATAATTGTGTTAAATACATTCTATTATTAATCCCTCGTGACATTTGAAATGGAAAATATTTTTTATTTTTAAACCCAATAGCAGTTACCCTTGCTGGACCTGTTTGAACTGTCCCTTTACGCGCACGTTTCCTGAGCTGTTGGGCCACTATCGTAAATAAACAATCGATAAGGTTTGTAAGCTCATGAGTAAAACCGTTAACCACAGTTCTATTTTATTTATTTATTTTTTATCTCAGAAGGTTTCTACGTGCGCACATGACATAACACACAAGACTTTTCATGTTTATCTCTGACGACAGTTCCTGTTATTTGGCGTCTGATGATTAACCTCATTTCCGCTCTTGGATTCTAATAGAGGATCTCAAGATGGCGTCGAGTGGAGGAGATGGAGAGCCTGAGTGGACCGCAGCCGTACGGCCACTTTTATCAGCGTCCTACACGGCTTTCGAAACGAAAGAGCTACCTCAGCTCATAGGATCCATCATAAACAGGTCAGACGATGGCTTGTTTATTGAGTTGGCTCGTGCAGGGCTGAAATAAACTGTTTAGTGACTGCATTAGCTGTGATGCTATGGCAGCACCGAGGCTGTGTCTCAAAACCTAGTCAGCTGACTACCTTCACAGCATTTCGGGGCATCGTGAGAGGGTTTGGACGATTCCAAATGCGCTTATGATGTCCGAAAATGCTCTTTTAAAATGCTTTAGGTGGCCAAAAATGATTTTGAATCGTCTGGGTTTGTATATGATGACTAAATGTGCCGTCTACGAATGCAGCTCACTGTGTTTTGAGACAGAGCCGGAGTGTAACTGTGCATTTACAGTAGCAGATACATAAGATTCTGCTTCATCATCAGGCCGGAGACACACTCTTTTACGTTCATATAACCTGCCTGGTTGATATTTTATCAATGCCGCTTACTTATAATGGACGTACAGGATCCCACGACGTCCGCACCTAAATAAAGTGATTTTGTATTTGTGTCGGAAGTGAATTAATTGACACCGAATGAGCATGTTAGCCTCCCTCGATTAACCCCAACCAACGCTAGCTAACCTGCTAGCCACTGTCAAGAGCTATTCATAATACTCATACTCGTCTTTTTTAATTATCATCCTGATAAATCTTCCTCTGTCAGTCAGCGGCAACCACATTAGTCCCAGTTACTCAAAGTTTTAATTGCAGTCGGTTCAATTGAATGCAAATAGGGGGTGTGCCTGCTAACTAGCAAGCCATGACTTAGCAGCTGGTGCTAGTGTTACTGATGGTTCGCTAATTGTGTGTTAGCCGATTTTGGTCAAGTGGACAAACGTCGGAATTCTCTGTTTTAGTTTGTCGTGGGGTTAGTTGTCCACTTCAAAAGCTTGTTTGTCTGTGTGTAAATATGTGTGTACTGTCATCAGTTTCGTTTTTACGGAAACCGTGCTTGGTCTCAAACAAATACATTACGGTGTTTGTCATTTACAGCGGTGTTAATCAACTTATTTAATTACGAGCCAAACAACTGCCTGACCTTTCAAATAAACCGTAAACACATTGAATTGAATCTGTGATATGAAAACTTTTAACTGTCACCTTGTCGATGTGCATGAGCTAAGTGCAACTTAGTCAGTCAAAAATGAAAGTAACACGATTGATAATGAATTGAGCAACTAACCTATACCGGACTAAACCAGTTTATGTTAGCGGTTTAATAATAATTGAGTGTTAATTGTTTTCATTGTTTGTTACTTTTCCATATGTCTGTGTTCATCTGACTGGGCTCAGATTCATTTTATGAATGTTTGCTGACACCAGTGTATTTGCTCAAAAACGTTTATTGCCAGTGGCATTCTCTGAATGGATAAAATGAAGCTGAAATGTGTATTTTTCCTAATAGAGTTTTCCCTGAAACTCATTCAAAAATATTAATAAATACTATAATAGTATATAAGTAGTAGTAAAATAACACTGGTACAAGTTGGACAATTATCACGAGATTTTAGGAATAATTTAAAACCTTAAACAGCTTTTGTGATGTTTGTATGTTGTCACATTTAAATCTGAAAGCAATATCAAAGTTCCCCATAAATGTTCCGTCTGTCAGATAAGGTCATGCATTCCTACTCCTGTGAGTTTCTTACAAAGAAATTCCCTTTTGTGCTTTGGAATTAGTTTTTCACCTTTTATTGCTAACTAGTTGTTACATGCTCGCTATAGGAGACTTTTTAATATGTTTATCTCTGCAAGAATCATGCAGATTGCTGGATGGAACAACATTTTGGGAGTTCTTTAGTTATTTTAGCTTCTGTTGGGAATTTCAACAAGAAGTTAAATGTAATTATTAATTTATGTTTCCATTCTTATTGTCAGTGTTTCTTTCAACAGAAAACATTGTTTGTCTTCATAATCTTTCATTAGAACATAATAACTTGCTTTATCAGTAATGATTGAGCTTTTCCTACTACGTCAGATCATGCAAAGTACTAGATAATATTATTAACCAATAGCCAAATAGCTGTGTAGGTATTGGTTTAGCACACTTGCATTCTGATGCACACTGACTTTCACAATTCAGTCAATTCCTGATGGATAATCAAGTCCTGTCTTGAATTTGATCTAATTAAATACTTGGTTTCACTTGGAAGTATTATGTTACAGAATTTAAATGAGATGCAAACTGCAGTTTACATTGATTTCAGCGGTTTCCCTCTTTTTTTTCTACAGTGAATCTGAGATTCTTCACCATGACAAACAGTATGAGCCATTCTACTCCTCTTTTGTGGCACTATCTGCACATTACATCACCACAGTTTGTGGACAAAGTATGTCACATTTCAATGTTTTATTCTAAAACTGTCATTTCATTAATTTGTAGCTGAAATTCATCATATATTTCTAGCTAAATATAGGCATACACAGGTTTAACTGGCTATTAAAAATGTTCCCTATTATTGTTCCCATTTTATTTTTTTATTTTTTGAATTTTCTGTCCCATTTCAGTCCCCAGAAATCAGTTGCTGTCAGTAGCTGCAGCATGTAAAGTATTGATTGAATTCTCATTGCTCCGTCTGGAGAATCCTGATGAAGCATGTGCAGTCTCTCAGGTCAGATATGAACCTTGGTGTAATACATTTTGTCTGTTAGCATTTTCTCATAGACTAACTTCCTTTCTCCTTCCGCTCCACAGAAGCACCTGATCCTCTTAATAAAAGGCCTTTGTACTGGCTGCAGTCGATTGGATCGGACAGAGATCATCACCTTTACTGCAATGATGAAGTCAGCCAAACTACCCCAAACTGTCAAGACCCTTTCTGATGGTAAGAGTAGTTTCAAATTGTCACAGCCCTGTGTTACCAGATAAATGAGCTGTCTAGTTCATGTAAAGGCAACGTGAAATGTCAGGATTGGTGTAATGACCTGTCTTTATAGACGTAATCTTTATGATTTAGCTAGATATTATAGAGCCAGGATGGGGATGAATGTTGAGCGTCTTGCTTGTAAATTTAACAGCTGTTCAGAAAGAAACAGCTTGAGGTGGTGAAAGTGTTTCATTTGTAGGATTTTCTTGTTTGCTTTCCCTTTTGCCTTGTAATTAAAGGCTGATAATATCCACTGTAGACTGGCTCAAATAATTCTTACAGGTCTAGTTGTGCTGAATTTTGAAGGACCAGGGGACCTTTATGATGTATTGAAGTTCCAATAGTGTGTAAATGTGGAATTTTAAAGGGACAGATTCCATGTGGACAGATTGCCTAAGTTCTCTTTAATACATTGTCTTGCAATGCTGATGTGTCATAACTATATTTTTCCTCTTTACAGCTTGTTATCTGCTGTACACAAGAATTAATGAAGCATCATTTTCTTGTGTGCCTGCTTTGCTGCTCATTTGATTATTGTGGCTAATTAGAGGCTCTCTTGTGAGTTTTACTCAGTTTAGATCAAGTCAGGAGAGAGCTGTTCTGTTTAGTAATTGAATTCTTTAAGACATTAGTAAGCCATTCTTTTAGCATGCTAATTTAGTACTATTAATTATTAAAAAAGGGAACATGATTTAAAAATGAATGGAATTTAGTCAGGCCTCCTGACCTGTACATAAATTCCATTTTATGGAATTGTCCTAATTTGGGGGCAATTCTCAGCAAATATTTTTTTATGATTGTATGCAATTAATTTGATTCATTACACAGTGCATCAAGCCCTGCAAATTAATCATGAAATCAAATTTTTACAAAAATAGCATCCTTCAACATGGCACAAGTTTGGCAAGTAACTGGTGGCACAGATTAGTCCAGACAAAGCATTGTGTTATCTGAGTGTATTAAAGGGGTCCTATTATGCTCTTTTACAATGTCTTGAATTTGTTTTGGGGATGTACTAGAACATGCTCTCATGCTTGGTGGTTTCGAAAAACGCATTATTTTTTACATAATTTACATTATTACAATACCTTTCTCCCCAGCCTGGCACAAATGGCTCGATTAGTTCCGGGTTTGATGAACGCCCGCCTTCCGAAAAACTAATTGTGATGTGATTGGTTAGCTGTCCCAGTGCGTTGTGATTGGCGAACAGCTTAGACGGTGTTTCAGTACTGCCAGTACTGTAAGCAGCAAGTTTAGTTAAGTATGGCGTCAATATTGCCATATCAATTTGAGCCGGATTCAGACCCAGAGAATATTGAACAAGAGGATTGCGCAGAACCTTTGCACGCACGGATATTGCAAGACATATTAGAGTGGTAGCTGTATTGTTGGTGTTTTTTTTTTTGTTGCTAAATCACGTTTTAGATAGGATGTCAACAACCGCTTAAAGATAACTGCATTTACTATGTACAGATAAGTGCATATGTATTATTTTTATTGTTATTTAATTCTAACATTATAACATGAATTGCAGTGAAACTGTGATAGTTGAATTTATTTATACCATAGTCCAGTGTTTCCCAGGCGGCATATATATGCAAACTCATTCTCTGCCAGCAGGGGGCGCTGTGGGGGTGGTAGAGATCAAGGTTTCCCCAGTAATGGCTGTACACAAACCAGTGCTCCGCTCAAAAAAACACTGCTTTATCAGACATTACATGCGAGATTACATGAAAATGACATCCAATTTTCTGAAGACAGTCGGTTTCCTTCAGAAATACAGTGACATAAAAACACCCGCACTCAGTGTATGGGAAACACTGTAGTCTCATAATTGAAGTGTAAATTCTGCAGATTACATCATTGTCCAGTATTGTACTGTCAGCAATTTATTATAAACTTTTTCATAATTGTAACATACATATTTACATACATAATTATTCAGGTGCATGTGTAATAACTTGAGGCTACAGCAGCACTTCTTCTTCGTCATCTTGTCTGATGCACTCAACCAAGCGTTCTAACCACAACCTCGACCCACCCCCCAACCATTCCAATTTACGTAGGTGGGAATTATTTTAATGATATTCTAATGGGCTGCTTTGTGATATCATAAAACCCGGAAAACAAATGCTGTAGTCCAAACGAGCTGTTCGTTGTAGTTCTTGAAAAGGGATTTTTTTTTTTTTAAATCTCCCTTTGGAGTGGACTTTGAGATTTGTAAGTTTGAAGATCTTTTTTTATGCCCAAACATACACCCTACACACTGACTAAAATTCAAAGTGAAAAAGCATAATAGGACCCCTTTAACTTTTTTTCTTTGTAAGTGCCAGGCTGGCAGAAAGGAAGCTTTGTTCTCTTTCCTCTATCAGAGAGGATTTGAGATTCTGTCTGCTGATATTCTGCTATTGCCTTTGGTGCTCTTGTTTTCCAGTGGAGGACCAGAAGGAGCTTCCCTCCCCTGTTAACCCTGAACTCAGACAAAAAGAAGTCCAAATGAACTTCTTCAATCAGCTGACCTCAGTCTTTAACCCTGACATTACCATGCTGGCCTCTCCATCCGCTCACATGCAGGTCGGTGAATTAGACGAGTCTTTCGATTGAGTTCACGATGATGTGACCACTTCTGGGTTTACTGCTGTTTTGTAATGAGCAAACAAAGATGTTTTTTGGAAAAAACCATGATGTCATGTGTTTTACAGGGTGAGAATGAGTGTGATGACCAGACAACAGATCAGGCAACGCAGGCCAAAATGAAGAATGCCTTCATCTCTCAAAATGTGTCCAGTTTACAAGAATTAGGTGAGTTGCACTTGGTCTTTATCAATGGTTCTTAAATGTTTGATTTCAAATACCACCCATTGAAACGAAGTTGAGTGTATTTTGTTACACAATGAAAATCTTTATTTTTATCCCATGCATTACAGGGGGCTCAGAGAAGTTGCTGCGCGTGTGCCTCAACCTTCCCTACTTCTTACGGTATATCAACCGCTTCCAGGATGCGGTATCCGCCAATTCTTTCTTCATCATGCCGGCCACTGTGGCAGACGCCACCGCTGTCCGAAATGGGTAAACCAAAGTCACCCTCAGCTCACTGCTTTTTATTAAATCTGTTGAGCTTGAGTAATCCTGACTTTCCCTCCCTGTGTTTCAGTTTTCACTCCCTGGTGATTGATGTGACCATGGCCTTGGACACACTTTCCTTGCCTGTACTGGAGCCTTTGACCCCTGGGAGACTACTTGATGTGACCGTGTTAGCACTAAGCTGCCTCTATGCAGGTGGGTTGATTGAAAAAGCTCCTCCTTGTCTAGTTCTGATATACACCGAGAGCTTCAGGGGTGTTTTTATTTTCTCAGGCGTGAGTGTGGCAACTTGCATGGCCATACTGCAGGTGGGCAGCGGCTTGCAGCTTCGTTCGGCCTCCACTGGCTCCAAAGAGGAAGACTATGAAAACGACGCTGCTACCATCGTGCAGAAATGCGTAGGTGTCAATAGTCAAGATGACAGTTTTATTGTCTTTGGTACACTCCTCATCTTACACTTTTCCTCTTTTCAACAGCTGGAAATCTATGAGATGATTGGACAGGCCATCAGTAACTCTCGCAGAGCTGGAGGAGAGGTAGGTGAACACTTTGCCACAGAGTATATAACATTAATGAGAACGGCCCGTGTCTAAGATCGTGCTTCATGTTTCGACAGCATTATCAGAACTTTCAGCTCTTGGGTGCCTGGTGCCTGTTGAACAGTCTGTATTTGATACTGAACTTGAGCCCCACGGCCCTGGCTGATAAAGGGAAGGAGAAAGATCCCCTGGCAGCACTACGGGTCAGAGACATCGCCACCCGAACCAAGGACGGAGCAGGATCTCCTAAACTTGGCCCAGGGAAAGGGTAAGTGCCTCTGTGTTCTGTACTTGAAATGCATGTACCAAGTTAGAAATAGTCTGTTCATGTTAGTTTTAAAAACATTCAGTTGAGTGACTTCTATGTAAATGTCATGTGGCAACCTATTTTCGTTACATCTTGAATTCACGTGAGAGAAAGTGGCTTAATCATTATTTTAAAAAATGTATTTTATTTATTTTATATATGTGACTGTGGACCACAAAACCGGGGTCGTTTTTATTTAATTTTTTTATTTTTATTAGATTTATACATTATCTGAAATCTGAATAAATTAATAAATTAAGTTTTGATATATCTACGGTAGGAAATTTACAAAATATCTTCATGGAACATAATCTTTACTTAATATCCTAATGATTTTTGGCATAAAAGAAAAATCGATAATTTTGACCCATACAATGGATTGTTGACTATTGCTACAAATATACCCGTGTGACTTATGACTGGTTTTGTGCTCCAGGGTCACATATATATATTTTGTGTGTGTATATGTGTGTGTGTGTGTGTGTGTATATATGTGTATATATATATATATATATTAGGGATGCGCTGATGTATCGGCCGCTGATATTTATCGGCCGATTTTTCCTCAATTTACAGCCATCGGCTATTTAAGGAATGGTTTATGGAACGATGGTTTATTAATTAACTGCGTGAAGGCACTGAGCTGTATTACGTCTGTTGCATAATTCTAGCGCTGCCGTCTGCACTTTAATGCTAATCAAATAACAAAAGACAAAAGATCGCACACTATTCTTGACTAAATAACTTTTGTAACTTTCATAAGTGTAAGCGGACTGCATCTGAATGATGACCAAAATTTTACTGATGGTTTAAGTTTATTGCGTCCTTTTTCACTCCAAAAAAATCACCATAAGAGCTAAACAAAACACAGCACGAGAAGTGCACATTAAACTCTCTCTCTCAGTTGCATTATCATACAGCGAATTACACAAAACATTCATTACAACTAACAGTAAAAAATTATATATAGATCTCTTGCCTTTTCGGGGGGTGCTTAATAAACTGACACACTTTAAATCCGTAGAACTGCCTGCTTTCATTACGCGTATAGCTCCGTAGACTAGAAAACCCGTCAAAAGAAGAGTCCCGCCTTAGTAAAGGAGATCTCATACATATTTAAACTTACAAAAAAATTAGAATGTATACAAAAACAAATTAAAAGATTAATTACAATAAAGTCTGTTACAATAAAGAAGGATTAATATGTATTTAATTTATACAGCGTAGTGTTTTTACATTTGTTTACTTTATTTCTGTACCTGAAAACTGTTAAACCTACCTAAAAAGCACTGTTTATTTAATGTATCTTTGTTCTGTTCTGTATTTATGTAGGCCTGCTGAATGTTAAATGGATCCAATCCATGTTCATTAGAAATTATTTGATGATGCAGCAATAAAACTGCTAGTATAATTTAATGCAGGTGTTTTTGAACTTTGCTGGTTTAAAACATGATCAAAATATCTATTAATTAAAATATATTTTGATGCCAAAATTTCATTATTTATATATATATATATATATATATATATATATATATATGAATTATTAATTTGTAAATATTAAGTTTTTGGGGAATTCGCACCACATTTTACAACCTAATGTTGCCTTAAAATAAAAAGTTTAAATTATCTGATATTTTAAGAGGTGTATTGACACTTTAATGATGGTCTGCCGGGATCCTCTCTACATTATTTCCTGATTTCTTTTCTTTTTTTTCTCTGCTTGTTGGAAGGAAAAATTGTATACAATTTTATGTTATAATATACAAATGTTAAATTTTATATAAAAAAATAGTTTTATTATTTAAAATATTTTTTCATTTTATATTTTCTAAATTATGATATCAGGACAGTATCTTTGTCATTTTTTACTTTATGTACCCCAAGCAATATCAAATTTTTAATACAGAAATAAATTAAACATAATAGGTGAAATGTGTTGAATGTGTGAGTTGCATATTTTGTGTATTTTAGATTATTAAAAAAAAATGCCACATGTAAGTAAGTGTGTCAGTAAATGTGAAGTTTTTTTGTCTCATCAGGCACCAAGGTTTTGGGGTTCTGTCAGTCATTCTGGCCAATCATTCAATCAAGTTGCTCACATCACTGTTCCAGGACTTGCAAGTGGAGGCTCTTCACAGAGTAAGACTGAACGTAACTGCTTCTTTTAAACTACCGGATCATTTTTGTGTTGTAAATGTAAATACGAGTTAAGCTGTTTTCTGTCTTTTAGGGCTGGGCCAGTGACGGGCCTCCAGCAGAGCTGAACATCATGGCTCAGAGCACGTCCATACAGAGAGTGCAGAGACTCATTGACTCGGTCCCTCTCACCAATCTGCTCTTCACGCTGCTCTCCACCTCCTATAAAAAGGTATGTGACCACAAGACTTGATCATGGTTGCTATGAGGAAGTGGTCTGTTGTGTTTGATGAATGTGGTGCCTCTGGTTCTGCTTGATTCAGGCGTGTGTGCTGCAGCGGCAGAGAAAAGGTTCGGTCAGCAGTGACGCCAGTGCCTCCACTGACTCCAACACTTACTACGAAGATGACTTCAGCAGCACAGAAGAGGACAGCAGTCAAGGTAGCAAACACTGCAGATTTCTCAATATTTAACCGTGTAAATAAAGGCCACAGTGAGGTCAGACATTGAAGTTGATTTAGTTCATGTAAACAGAGTAGTTGCTTTTAACAGTAAATTTCCCCATTAGATTGATGTCTAGCTGGGTGAATCTCACAAAAAATGTCCAAGTTATATTTCAAAATCAAAAGGAAAAATTATATATTTTGCCGAAAAAGGAAGCGTCTTTTTGGAATTGTCTCATGAAGATCATATTTCCATTGAAGAATATTTAATTGAGCACGTTTACATGCATGTTCTTAAGCCAATTATGCTTAAGCCGAAAACGCATGTTGTCATGTAAACACGGTAACCCGTTTTCTTTTATCGGAGTAAGGTCATAAATGGTGTAAGCATAAACCGGGCGACACAGGTAGTTTTTTGCCTCTTACCCCGATTTTGCATGGCACGTAAACGCAATTACCTGCTTTCTGTTGGCTTATTGAAGTGCGCATGTGTGATACGTGACAGGAATGCATCGTTAGTGCAAATTTAAGCAGTAAAGAATTAATTTGCAGTAGGGCTGGGTGATATGGGCAAAAATTCATATCTCTGTATTTTTTGACCGATTTGCGATATACGGTATATATCTCGGTATTTTCATTTTTGTATTTGTATTTTAAAAATCTGTATTTAATATATATATAAATTTCACTTACCACCCAATGTTGTCCAACAAAACAATACATATTAAAGGCTATGAAAACAAATAGTGAATGTAACCATGTAAGCTTTTATATTATGTGCAAAAAAGGGTTGAAATCACATTTCATTGTAACATTGCAATTAGTGGTCAACCGATATTGTTTTTTTGACAGCCGATGCCGATATCTTGGAAAGCAGGGTGGCCGATATAATTTTGTTTTTAATTAATATTTAAGAAATTTGAAATAATTTGATTGTTAAATAAACATACTTATACTTTAGATGACAAAGTATTTTCACATATAAATAAATATTTAATACAAATATAATTAAAAAGGAAGTAAACACTTTAACCAACAGGGCACTCAGTATTCTGGGAAGTTTGTGTGCATTAATATGTATTGCCTCATATCGAATTGCTTATAAAGAAAATATTGATATATCGTACAAACTCGATATATCGCCCAGCCCTAATTTGCAGTAAAGGAAGAAGGAAATATATCGCAAAAGCAGACTCTTTCATGACTCAGAAAATGATGTGTTCTCATCTCGTACAGCAGAAGTAGAAGTGGTTCAGTCAAAACGCTGCATTTATAACCGCATGAGAGGACAATATGAGCTGTAAGTTTCATGCTGACATGTTGCGAGCTTTATTTAACATCACAACTGACAAACATGGAATACTCGCACTCAGATACGCAAATGATAATATTTTGACGTCACTAAAGGGAATTAAGCTGATTTGTTAATAAAGTCATGTAAACGCAGCTTACTTGCGTTGTCAGGTTACTGGTGTGCATGTAAACGGGCAAACCTGGTTATTTTAATAAGCTGATATTTGTGTTATCAGATTACTGGTATGCATGACATGTAAACATGCTCATTATCTATACAGGAATATAAATTAATGGAATAATAATGGATCCTCTTCACAGTTTTATTTTTATTTATTTTTTTATTTAATATAATTTATATTTTAATTAATTTTTGTATTTATGCACACTATTATCCCTTGTTTTTTACCACTGAAGAAGTAAACTAGATACATGAAATTTAGTGAATTAGAAATTAATAATTTTTTTTGCATTACAGTAGGCTGCTGACTATAGTGAAGGCTTTATTTAAATATGCTTATTTTGATGACCGTGATGTCAAGCACACACAATTCTTTTATTTCTTTTTTTTTATTTTATGCACATTTTGTTTTTTTACCCCTGAAGAAATAAACTTTCTATATTTTTCTTTTATTAGTACATATAGAACATTACTGTAATGCTGATTTTACAGTAAGCTACTGACAGTTGGGAAGGGTGGATTTAAATTTTGCTTTATTTTGATAATATTGTCAAAATGCATTTCATTTTCTTTCTGCAAAATATAATTTTCATGTTTTTCCCCACTTTTGATTGAAATAGGACCTGTGCATATCTTGACAGCTTTTGTAAGATTCCCCCCCAGTAGTCTTAATTAATGTTATTAGCATGAGTTATTTTTTATGCAGCTGAGGTCAGGGTTTGCTTGTGGTTTACTGAGCTAGTGTCAGGGCTGAGGAATCTCAGGGACATTCTTAGGCAGTTCCTGAGCACTGCACGCTGTAGTAGAAGGACAGCGGTCAGACCTCCCCAGAGCTCAGAGTCAGGTCAGTTTACTTCCTGTTCCTGAACACTGTGGCACGCTAAGCATGCTCTGCTTACTGCGCCGTTCTGGCAGCCGTCACAGCTAGTGACAGTGTTCGTTATTTCAGCAGAGAGAAGACAGGAGAGGACAAGAGCAGCTTGTTTCTCAGGTCAGCAGATCTCTGTCTTAGGTCAGAATCGTAGTGTCTCATTATGCTTCTATTTATTGTGCCTTAAACACAACAAACATCTTAAGTAGATTTATTTCCATGGCTAATGTAGCTTTGTTTGCATACAGTACAATGACTTGATTGAATGCGGTGCTGAATGTGGCTCTTGGCGTGTTTTCAGATGATGATAGTGAGCCCATTCTGGGGCTGTGGTTTGAAGAGACTATTTCTCCCAGTAAAGAGAAGGTGGCACCTCCACCTCCCCCTCCACCCCCACCTCTGGAAACATCCCCGAGACTCAAGAGCCCCAGCAAACTGAACACGGCAGAGAACGGCAACATCCTGGCTAGTCGCAAGGACCCGGAGTTGGTAAGGTCACGATGTGTAGTGCAATGCTGATTTTGACTGACTTTGCTGCTAGAACTTAAATGTTGTTTTATGTCCTGTACAAACACATTTGTTGCATAACTCATAACCAACCAACAAGTTAATACTTGTTGTTGTTGTTATTATTATTATTATTATTATTAGTGATCGACCGATATTGGTTTTTTGACAGCCGATGCCGATATCTTGGAAAGCAGGGTGGCCGATATAAAGCCGATGTAATTTTATTTATTTTAATTAATGTTTAAGAAATTTGAAATCATTTGAAATTGGATTAAAAAGTAAATGTGTTAAATAAACATGCTTATACTTTAGATCAGTGTTTCCCAACTCGGGTGCCGTGTAAAAATTAATTTAAAAAAAATAAAAATTTTAATTGCTAAAATGTTCAAAAAAAGCATCTATTATATAATATCCATTTCTGATGTTGCCAATAATTAGAGATGCACCGAAATTTCGGCTGCCGAAAATTAGTTCACCGCTCAGGTTTCACCATCACGTGGTGTGACCATAGACTGTATGTGACGCTCTGCGTAATACTGCATATTATCCCGCTCTATGCGTGTGCACTCCGCTCAGTCGCTCCACTCGTATACCGTTCGTGCGAATCGGAACAGCAAAGTCCACTCAAAAATTGAGCCGACAGGAAACATCGATGAAGTACATTATTGTTTCTGTCTGCAATAGCCGTACTGTGCTGTAACACGGTGTGGTATATGGATAACTCTGGTAACGCTGCCCTCTCATTCATTGAACTGCTATATTATGCTCGCGTGTTCTGATAATAATAGCTTTCTAGGACTAAACATTATTTGGATAATTGGTGTGAAAAAAAAAAAAAAGAGAAATATCTTAACCCTCCTGTTAGATCTCCCTGAAAAACTAAAAAGCAATTAATTTTATTTGAAGGCCTGTTGTTATTTTTTTATTTGTGCTATCATTAATCATTTCTTTATTTGTTCTTATTTTATTACTGACTGCTTGTCATTTTTTATTCAATTCAAAGTTTGAAATCAAGCTATCTCGTGCTACTGCACCAAAATTACCCCACTGTAAAATAAAAAAAGTGCGCAAAAATTTGTGAGATAGCTAGTTATAATGGTAATTAAATGTTTACATATGTATAAAAGCCTACATTAAAATCTGTCATATAAATTGGTCTCTTCATTAGAAATTAGCCTACTGATTGCCACCATTTATGGACAACATTTTTTAATAATATTAAAAATATCTGTATGACATTATATTCTGCAGTTCTTCCCTGTTGTACAGAATATCTATACTTTTCAAATCATATCGAATATAGAAATTTAAATATTTTGACAATTAATTTTGTAGGGTGCCACAAGTTTAAAATTTCCAAAGGGTGCCGCGACTGAAAAAAGGTTGGGAAACACTGCTTTAGATGACAAAGTATTTTTCACAAATAAATATTTAATAAAAAATATTATAAAAAAAAGGAAGTACACTGTACTGTAAACACTGTAACCAACAGGGCACTCAGTATTCTGGGAAGTTTGTGTGCATTGGCATTTGGGAATCATATTTTTTCAAATAAAGTCAACGTAACACTCATTTTACATACAGCATACTTTTTGTATACATTTTAGTTCCTTTGTTTAACCGTTCTATCTGATTATTAGACAGACTTCTGTCCTTATTAGACAGAACTGTTAACGACGACAGCGAACAAGAGGGAGATTGTGAGCACTGCGCCTTCAAAATAAAAGTTGAACGCATCGGCCAATGCCGATATTTAAAAAAAAAAAAGCCAAATGTCGTCCGATATATCGGCCTTGGTGATATATTGGTCGTTAGCTGTTCAAAATCAGAAAACCTCTGAAGCTGTTTTGATGTTGAATCAAAATTGATAATATTTTCTGTATTTTACTATTTAATTAAGTGCATTCAATTTTTTTGTCATTCAAATTGTTATTATAAATACAAAAATAGTACTTTTAATTGTGTGATATTTCAGCCATGCCATTAGGTTGTCAGAATAAGTCCAATATAACTCATATCAGCAAAATAAATAAACGTAATTTAAAAAATCTTTTTAAATAATATAAAAAAATCTCTGGAGTTTTATATTTGCATTATTTTTTATATATAATTATATATTTTTATCATTTTAATATTTTTTTTTATTATTCTTTATGACATGATAACAGAAATGGGTTGCTGTTTCATGTTGACTTAAAGACATGTATTTTTTTCCCCCCGTTTTTTGAAATGTATAATTTTTATATATTATTTTTCAGTAATGTATAATTATTTTTGTATATTATTTTATTTATTTACTTCACATTGCATGAGTGAAGTTTTCATGTTGACCTAAAGAGACGTTGTTTCTTCCAGTTTTTGAGTTTGGCCTCAAGCATACTGAACTTCATCACCACCTCCATGCTCAAGTCCAGAAACAATTTCATTCGCAACTACCTGAGCGTGTCCCTCACGGAGCAGCACATGGCCACCCTCGCCAGCATCATCAAGGATGTCGACAAAGATGTCAAAGGTTTTTTTTTTTTTTAAACTCCTATTTCTGATCTTACATTTAGGCTTTTCCTAACATGTAACCTTTTTTTGTCCAGGTTCCTCTGATGAAGAGTTCTCCTCAGCCCTCTATCACTTTAATCACTCTCTGGTAACATCAGACCTGCCCTCTCCATCCCTACAGGTAAATTTTGAAATATGCTTAAAAAAAAAAAACCTCAATATTAATTGAACACATTTTAAATAGATGTCAGGTATCTGATACCTTGTTTTCTTTAACTTTTCTTCAGAACACTCTTCTGCAGCAATTGGGTGTTGCCCCGTTCTCAGAGGGTCCCTGGCCCATGTACATCCATCCTCAGTCCCTCTCAGTGCTCTCCAGGTTACTGCTGATCTGGCAGCATAAAGCCAGCCAGCAGGGGGAGCCTGATGTACCAGAATGCATGAAGGTCTGGGAAAGGTATGACATCACTTAATCTTACAGAATTACACCTCTTTTCTTAAATCTAGCATTGGATTCTTCACCAAATTCTCATTTATGTGTATATTATATGATAGCATCAAGTTCATATAACATTGCGAAACATTCTCAATCTGAATGTTTTTTTTTTTTAGGTTTGTGGGCACTTTGAAACAGCACACACTACAGGGAGCAGTGCCTGCTGACGAGGACCTCAATGTTGAACACCTTCAGCTGCTTCTGCTCATCTTTCACAACTTCTCTGAAAAGGGCCGCCGCAGCATCCTCACCCTCTGCATGCAGACCATCGCTGAAATCGCAGCCCACGTGGATTCTCAGCTTCAGGCTGTACCCCTCAACCTGGCCCGCATCTTGCTTGTGTTCGACTACCTGCTGCACCAGTACTCAAAAGCTCCCATGTACTTGTTTGAGCAGGTGCGGATGTAGCTGTACTTTCACTGGAAATATACCACTGTTTTGTAGCTAGTTTGTGACAGTTATTTTTTATTTGCTCACTTAGGTTCAGTACAATCTTCTGACACCCCTGTCATCCAGGGCCAGTTCAGGACAGGAGGGAGGAAAGAGAGGTGCTGTCCCACTTTATTATGGTTTCAAAGAGGTAGAAGAGAACTGGGCCAAGCACTGCTCGGCAGGTAGGAGTAAGTCAGATCTCTTATATTTCACTCAGTTGTGCACTTGATGGTCGATATCAAACATACTGCATTACAACAGTTGTAAGCTTTGCTAATCTAGTGCAAGAACGGTTTTGATTGTTGTATGTCTGTCGTCACTCTCATTTAGATTCCACAGTGCAGCCGAAATTCTACTGCGTTCTGTCTCCTGATGCGTCAGAGGATGACAGGGGTCGACTTGATGGCAAGGTGAGGCTACACATCACAAGTCTGCACAAGTATTAGACATGGGAGTGTCTGTGCACCTAGTTAAAGAAAACCATTTTGGTCTTTTAGCAAACTTTTTCTTGGAAAATTGGCATGAAATTTCTAGTGTCTTATAGTGTACTGCTTTAATTACTCAAAATATAGATTTATTTGTTTATTATTTATTTAAATGAAATTATATAATGTTGTTATTGTATATTGTAATTTAATATAAATAACAAGAATATTATATTGTATATTATAATTAGGGCTGTCCGTTTAACACGTTATCTTAATTAGTTATTAAAAAAATAACGCGATTAAAATCTTTTAAAGCAGTTAACGCACTGGCCCCGCCCCCAGACTTGTACACCATCTTACATTTCATAGTTGACTGTTGACAAATATGATGCAGGGCAACAACTCCATAAATGCAGTTATGTCCTGAAATTCAAGATATTGGGAGAGAGAAAAAAAAAGCCCCTGTATGAGTATTTGTCTCATATTTATATCACATAAGCAATATCACATAAGCAGCGAGAGCAATAGTGCTGTTTATGTTTGAATAGCACAAGTGCAAATGTAAATTTTTTTTACATTTGTTTTTTATACAACAGTTCAGTTAATAAGAAGTTAGTATTGTGTTATATTTTAAACATGATACTGTTTTAGCTCAATTTTGCCAACAAAAATATTACCTATAAAGCCACAGCAGAACTGTTGTGTGTCTGTGAGCAACACAGCGGTGTTTAGTTTCTGATTGAATCTGCGTTTTGAACGAATCGTGTGAACCAGTGATTCAAAGGCCCATTCATAGACAGCCGTTTACTTCATTCCTGAATGAATCAGCTGTTTGAACGAATCGAATGAATGAATGGCTCAAAAAGACATTTACTGCCACCTGCTGGCAATTTTAGTTTTTTCTTTAGAGTGTCAATTAATTTATTAAAAAATAAATAAACAAATAAATAAAACATTAGGTATAGTTCACCAAAAAAAACATTTACTCACCCTCATGTTATTTCAAACCTGACTGACAAAGACTGTTGGTAACAAAGCTGTTTTGGTTACCCGGCAGTGACTTTCATTTCATGAACAAAAAATACTGAGCTGTTTCTCAAATTATCTTTTTATGTTTTATAGTTTGTTACAGTAGACCCTTGTAGCCTAAACATTTATGTGTAGTAATTTTTGTTGAATCAAAGAAAATATTTATTTCTATAGCTACTATTTGTAATGTCTACTTGATACTTTCTCATTTAACACAATAATAGCTTTAAATAATCTTTTGTGGGTATTTTCACAGCCAAATTTAGTTAGATTAGTTAATCAACGCACCATGGAATTAATTAGATAAAGAATTTGAATCGACTGACAGCCCTAATGATAATCTAATGTAATTAATAAAAAATATATTATTATTATTATAATACAATTTTACAATTATTTTAATTATAAGTTTTTGTATCTGATTTTAAGAGATAACATAAAATATTTGTACACATGTTTTTAAAAAGATGCTTATAAATGTTTATTTAAAATAAGTAAAACCACAAACATTACAAGATGATTAAAAAATGTAAAAATATATCATACAATAAGTACTTTGTACACCAAAAAATGGTATTGCGTTGATTTATTATTATTTTAATATACCAATAATAATTAAAATAACAAACACACTAATACGGTGCTGTAAAAATGCGATTATAGGCCAGGCTTTAATACAGCACTCAGTTTCATACATTATGTATCGGAGATCCTGTCTCTTTGTTTACCATGAGGTTCTTGGCATTAAAAGTTTGAAGACTCCTGCTTTTATATTTATATGACTATATAAATAAAAAAGAATGTATATAAGAAGTTAATGTGCATGTTCTTTGTCAACTGTTACAGGCCTTCCAAGTGCTGTTCAATGACGCGGTAAAGTATGACGACTTATACTCCTCTCTGATCTCCCTGCTGGCTGCAGGATCCAGCTTTGACACAGCAAGACGGCAAGAAAACAAGCCCGTCACTCCAGTAGTGAGTTACACACATTCTGCAGTTTTTACAATCAACCTTGTGTTTGCGCTGGTAGCCTTTGCCCTAAATGTTGTTGTCAATCTCTGGTACAGGAAGCATGTTCCTTGCAGTACTACTTCCTGGTGCTGTGGAAAATCCTGGGAGTGCTGCCACCCTCAGAGGCCTATGTTGAGCAGCTTAAGAGCGGCAGCAGTGACCCCAGTGAGAGCGACATCTTGCACACCCTAAGATGGTCATCAAGGTTACGAGTCAGTACCTACGTTAACTGGATCAAGGTTAGTTTTATAATTTTAACACTAAGAAAATATAACCAACTGATCAAGATGCCTTGAAGTTAAGGTCAATCATCTGTTAACACACTTTAATCAGGAGCACCTAGTGCAACAGGGAATGAAAGCTGACCACGCCACATCTCTGATCGAAGTGGCCTCAGCTAAATGCAGTGCAGTGAAATATGATGTGGAGCTCGCAGAGGAATACATCGCCAGACAGGTACACTCGGAGTAGCCATTAACAGCTGATATAGATTTTTCTGCTTGTCTTCTAATATATGGCCTCATAAGTCCTCTCCTTGATAGATTTCGTCATTTTGCTGCGTGGACCCCAACAGCATCCTACCTCTTCACCAAGTACCCTCTCTACAAACTATCTACACATTGGATGCTGTGATATCCAAAGTGCAAGTGTCTTTAGATGAGCATTTCTCCAAAGTAGCTGCTGATACAGACCCCAACAAATCCTCCGAGATCACCAAAAACCTGCTGCCCGCCACGTTGCAGCTCATTGATGTCTACACAGCCTTCACCAGGTGCTGATTACACCACATGCACCATAAGAAGAAAAGCAACCTTAAAATAACATGAGAGTCCATAATGAAGTTAATTTTAATTTCATTTTTGGATGAACCATCTCTTTAAAGTACTCAAGTAAACATTAGAAAACCAAACCAAGTTCTTAAGCCCTTCCTGATTGGTTTGCTGGTCATATCTTTGCTCAGGTCATACCTGCTGATGAGCCTGCCAGAAGAAGGAGAAAACAAACCCACAGAAGCTAAACTGCAGGGTTATGCTGCTGTGTTGTCCATCGGATCCACACGCTGCAAAGCCAATTTGCTTGGTAAGAATTCTGGATAATATCGTCAAGATATTAATGACTTTTATGTGCATTTGAATATCTAATCCATTTTGATTCTGTTTTCACTCTTTCAGGTCAGACTGTGATGCAGAATATGCCATCAGCTGTTCAGACATTGTGTGAAACGTGGAACAACATTCACACCAATGAATTTCCTAACTTTGGCTCATGGGTTAGAATGCTTATCCTTCAGCTCTTCGAGTGAATATACACTCTCACTACTTCACCGTAAACTGATTGGTTCTTTGTCCACAGCGGAACGCCTTTGCCAACGACACTATCCCATCGGAAAGTTACATCAGCGCCATTCAGGCTGCCCACCTGGGGACCCTCAGCAACCAATCATTGCCCTTAGCCTCCTCGCTCAAACACATTCTGCTCTCGTTGGTGCGCCTTACTGGGGACCTCATTGTGTAAGTCTTGAGCGACATTTGAAACCGACAAATCG